TATTTACCGTAAAAAAATAAATTCAAAAAATTTCAAAATTTATAACCAAACAAATTTTTTCTTTTTAAAACTCATAACTCAAAATACGACACCACACTCAAAATATAATTCTAAAAATAATTTTAAAAAATAAAATAAAATTTTTTTGAATTTTTTTTTCTTTTAAAATAGAGTTTTTGAAAAAGTTTGGTTTTGAGTTTTGAAAAGAGTTTTGAATTGAGTTTTAAGTTTGTGTTTGGTTATGAGTTTTAAAAATGATTTTTGAATTGATTTTTGAGTAAAAACATGTTCCGAAAATAGATTTTTTTTAGAAACATGTTTGGTTCTCTTTTAGAATCACAATTCCAATTAGAAATTTTCAAAAATCTTTTCAAAACTCATAGAGTCTTAACCAAATACACAACTCAAAACTGAATTCAAAAATTATTTTTAAAACTCGTAACCAAACACAAACTTAAAAAAATACAAAATTATGTTAAATATATTTTTTAAATATTAAAAAATTTATTTTTTTATTTTAAATATATAAATTTTATTTTAAATATTTTATTTTGTTTTATAAATATATTTTTAAATATTTTAATTTTTTATGTTATGCGTTTGGTTACAATTTGAATATACAGTTTTGAAAGTAGTGTGGAGTGTCAAGTTATGTATTTGGTTATGAGGTTTAAAAACAATTTTTGAATGAAATTTTAAGTTATGTGTTTGGTTATGATTTGAGTGCGAAGTTGTATTTTGAGTTTAAAATATTAAAATTAAAAATATTAAAAATATTTACAAAATAAAATAAAATGTTTAAAAATATTTAAATAAAAATTATATATTTAAAATAAAAATAATAAATTTTTTTAAAACACTTTTTAATATTTAAAAAAAATAAATCTAAAAATACTGTTCCAAACACTGTTTGTTTCTTCCAAACCTGTCCTCCAATCCAAAAATATTTTTTAATATTTTAAAAGGAAGGACAATAAGATAATTTATTATAGAAAAAGTAATATTGTTTGGAACAATTTGACAGAAGGTAAGAATCTTAACACTGTCAGGTAAAATAGGAGAGGTTACTGTAATTATTCAAAGCACAAGGGAGGTCCCTGTATTTGTCAAAAATCTCAGGGGAGGTAAATGTAATTTACCTAATATTTTTTGAACACTTAGCAACTTGGTAATGTGAATATTCATATTTGATTGTGTGAATGTTCACATTGATGGTATGAATGTTCACATCACGAAATATTTACACTGTCAATGTGAATATTATTGTTAGGAGTATTTTGCTAAGGGTCCAGCTTGTCTCATGTTGAGATCAAGACTGTGCCTGTCCAGTCCGGCCCATGAGTCCATTTTTAGGCTCCGTTTTGATACTTCGAACCATTGAATGTGTAGAACTCGTCGAGTATTATATCTTTATAAAAAAATCACATTGATCGGATATCGATAGCTATTTGATCGGATCATATTTATATTTTTAAAAAAAGAACGGTGAAAAAATAAACGATTGACAGAATTCTGATCCGATCAAATAGCTATCGATATTCAATTAACTTGATTTTTTTACAGAGATGAAATATTCGATGAATTCTACACTTTCGGCGGTTTGAATTATCGAAACGGGGCCCAAAATGAGCTCATGGGCTGGATTGGACCGGGTCCAGTCTTGATCTCAACATGAGACAAGCTGGATCCTTTTGCTAACTATGTTATTCGTAGGATTTATTGAAATATAAGAAAATAATTTGGACTAACTTATTTTGGAAAGATGGTAAAAAATAATTTTTTTACTTTTAACCAAGCTTTTGGCTTTTTTAGACAAATGGTTTGGGAAGTTGGTAAAAAGTAACTTTTGACTTTTTTTATTAATATTTGTTATGATGTCAAATTACAATAAAATGACCAAACTACCCCCATTAATTTAAAATATTTATAACTTCAATCATGTAGCACATTTTGACTCATGAGGGGTAGAATTGTAATTTTATCAGTAGCTAAAAACCAACTTTTCAAATGAAAAAAAATGCAAAAAAGCCAACTTTTAACTTTTGCTACAAACCAAAAAAAGTTGCTAAAAGCCAACTTCCCAAAATATCACTAAGTGAAATATAAGTAACTGAAGAAGGATTTATGAATAAATTTCCTACTAAATTAATATATAAACATATTTTTAATTTTCTTTCAATTTATTTTTTATTATTTATTTATTTCTTTCTAAACAATCAGAACATTAACTTATAAATCAAACATAAAAAAAATTGTTTTCATTATTTTTTTGTAACATTGTTACATCTATCGGATTTAAACTTGTTTAAATTATTTGAATCTGTGCATACCATTTGTTCAATCATTGGAGCAAATGCCGATTGACACATTAATAAGGAAAATGCCTCGTAGCTCGACTTTTAGAGGCTCAAAACGGCTCAAAATAGAGAAAGAGAGAGAGAAGAGAGGAAACAGAGGAGAAAGAGGGAGAGAAGAGAGGAGGAAGGGAAGAAGTAGAGGAGAAGCAGAGCCTCGCCACCGCCACCGTCGCCGCCGATCGTCGCAGTAGACCGTCGCCTCGCCTAGCCCCGGTCGTCTGCCCAGCCCCGCCGACATCGCAGCACCACCGTCGTCTGCCAGCCCCGGTCGTCTGCCCAGCCTCTCCTCCTCCTCCTCCAACCGATTTTTATGGCCGCCTTCCCTCCTCCTCCTCCTCCCTCTCCCTTCTTTTCTTCTCCCTTCTTCTTCTTCTTCTTCTTCTTCGTTTTGCTACAAAACCAGGGAAGAAAAAAAAAAAAAAAAAAAATCCACACCTAATTCCCCATTACTAAACGACATCATTTTAGTGTCGAGCCATATTTTGAGCCGTGTTATTCGAGCTACCAATCGTTACCGTGATAACCAAGAGTGATAGCTACTATTAATAAAGATAACATCGGTTGTCTAAACAATGCTCCCCCGGTCACACCTTCGACTTTTGTAAGTTGGATGGTTTAGATGAATTCAAATTTAATAAATCAATTATTATGATTATTATTTATTGTTGTTGTTTTTTTTGTTTGTTTTTTCGTTTCTTTCCGAATCACCTCAACCAAACAAGTGTGAATCCTCACAGCAAAACTTCACCATTAATCCAAAAAATATGTGCGAGAGAAACGGGAAGAAATTGTCAAATCTTCAATTGACACCAAGAGCTTTTTGGTACAGTATTTCTTCTTCCATCCGGACACTTTTTTCCTAGGCTACTAGTACATTCATTCACATACACCATTGCCAATCCAACATTTCCAATTCCAATTCCAATTCCAAATGGATTCCCCCAGACGCAAAATCGTCGACGACTTCCTCCCTCTCCTCCTCGTCTACAACGACGGCACCGTCCACCGCTTCATCAACCCCCCTCACGTCCCCCCTTCTCTCTCCTCCACCCCCTCCTCCAAAGACATCACTCTCTCTCCTCCCTCCTCCTCCTCCTCCAACCCCCTCTCCGCCCGCCTCTACCTCCCCTCGTCCTCCCCCGCCAAACTCCCCATCCTCCTCTGCTTCCACGGCGGCTTCTTCTGCGTCGGCTCCGCCTTCTCCGCCGCCCACCACCGCTTCGCCTCCTCCCTCTCCTCCCTCTCCCCCTCCCTCCTCCTCTCCGTCGACTACCGCCTCGCCCCCGAACACCCCCTCCCCGCCGCCTACCACGACGCCTGGACCGCCCTCCAATGGCTCGCCTCTCACTCCACCGGCCTCGGCGACGAGCATTGGCTCACCCTCCATGCCGATTTTAACAAAATCTTCATAATCGGCGATAGCTCCGGCGGCAACATCGCTCATTACCTGGCCATGAAAGCGGGTCGGGAAGGGTTACCCAATGGGGTCACCATTTCGGGTGTCATTGTGATCCACCCCTTTTTTTGGGGGTCGGATCCGATGGCGGATAATTTGGTTTGGAGTCATGAGGATCGGATAGGTTCTCGGCTTTGGAAGTTTGTTTACCCGGATAGTCCGGGTGGGCTTGATGATCCGTTGTTGAACCCGTGTGCACCCGGGGCTCCGGATTTGGCGGGTCTTGGGTGTTCTAGGTTGTTGGTGTGTGTTGCTGAGAAAGATCCACTTAGGGAGAGAAATTTGAAGTATTATGAGGCTGTGAGGGACAGTGATTGGGTTGGAGAAGTTGAGTTGTATGAAGTTGCAGGAGAGGATCATGTTTTTCATGTGTTGAAACCTGAGGCTGAGACTAGTAAGATGATGATGAAAAGATTGGTTTCATTCATCAATAAGTCTATCGATACCACAAAACAATCTCATGAAACCGATATAGAATCGATCACAAACCAATCCCATATCGATACAGAATCGACCACAAAACAATCTCATGAATCCGATATAGAATCGATCACAAACCAATCCCATATCGATACAGAATCGACCACAAAACAATCTCATGAAGCCGATATAGAATCGATCACAAACCAATCCCACATCGATACAGAATCGACCACAAAACTATCTCATGAAGCCGATATAGAATCGATCACAAACCAATCCCATAAAGCAGAAGAGGAGTAATAAATGACTTTTATGATGGGTGCCATCATCTCTGAATTATTTTATATAATTAATTCAGTGTTCATACATGTATATTTTTCGCTAATTAATAGTCTTGTAAGTTAAATTGTGTCCTTGTTTTTTTGTTTATGTTTGAAACAATGATCGTTTTGGGAAGGAGATTAAAAATTGACTTCTTGATTTTTTTTTTGAAAAAAATATATAAAAATGTGGGCGATGTGTAAACTTAAATTTAATTAAAAGTTAAAAGATGATTTTTAGTCATCTTTTCAAAATAGTCCTTAATCCCTAAATCTCGATATCTCTAGTTTGAAAACACATTTATAACAATTGAATTGTGAAAATAACTATATATATTTTGTGATGCAAAAATATAAGAACGTGAGACAATGAATTCGTATGATATGTTTGTGCTATTGTTATTTTGTCGTTGTATGAAAAAATTAAAACAAAATTAATAGAGATACCACCGAATCATATTATATTTAGGTGTTGATCATTGAATACATATGTACAGTAATTTATATCCACATAAATAAATAGAATATATATATATATTCATGTTTATTTTAAATGTTTCGAGACATTTAGAATGTTTTTAGATCATAAATTTAAATAGAAATTTAAAAAATAAAAGAAGAAAGGTAAGTAAAATGTAAATGAAATATCGTAAATTATATTTCACTTAAATTTTACTCACTTTTTTATTTTTCCTTTTCAATTTTTAACAGAATTTGTAATATAAACACAACCTTAAAAATTGGAAAATCAGTGGCTTTCCACCATTTTGGGTCCAACAGAAGATTGCCATGGATGGTTGGGTTGTAGCTGTATCCTAAATTTATTTAGGTTGGTAGATTTAAAAAGGATCAAGGTTCTCTCCAGTCTCAAATTAGACTGGAGCATGCTGCTGGATTTGTAGGGCTTATCACAGGTCTAATTTCTATGATCCGAATCGTTTAATGTGTAAAATTCGTCGAATACTGTTTCTTACAAAAAATTATATTGATTGAATATCGATAGTTACTTGATCAGACCATATTCTGTTAATAGTAAATATGATTTAAAAAAAAATTATTGACAAAAATGTGTTCTAATCAATTGAAGTGACTATCAATATTTTATTAATGTAAAGTACTCGACGAGTCTTATATATTGAACAGTTTGAATCATTAAAATTGAACCCGTAGTGTGCTCCACAAACGTAAATAGCACCAACCAGTACACAAGATGTAATGAAGAGAATCTTGGCCCATTTGGAAACTACGAAATGCAATGTTTGGTAGAAGAGAAATTTTCCATGACATAACTTTTTGTTTTTGTAGTGAACATTGTAATCAATTATTTGGGGGTGTACATTTGGTCTACTCAAAGTCTGCCCACGAATTAATGCGGCCCGACCTGGCTAGGTCTGGGTCCTAGTCCAACTCGAGATCTTGGATTTGGGTCGTCTATTTTGAAGTGCGGTCCATCGGTCTACTCAAGTCCTACTTAAGGCTCGGCCCGTTTGAAGCCTTGTGTCATTTTTGGTAAAAACATAAAAAAATAGTCAAGCCTGGCCTAGATCCGCCCCAAGCCTGAATACCCCATGAGCCAAAGCATGGGCCTAATTTTCTTGCCAATAGGTCGGTCTAAACCAACCCAAATTTTGGTAGGAGCTCGCACGACCCAACAATGGGCAGGCCTGAGCTCAGGCATAAGTGGGCTAGGCCAAATTTGCACCCCCTACCAATTATATAGCTGAATTAAGATTATATAAATTTTTCAGGCATAATTTAATAGACGTTAGTATTTTTAAAGTAAGAGGATAGAAATATAAAATAAAATTTTCTCTAGTTTGTAGACCAAATTGGATGGTCCAATCTTGCCCATTAGGCCTACCAAGTGTCTCACTAGATGACTTGATAAGTTATTTTTTTAAGTCTCAGAGAATAGATCATTGATACAAATAAAAAAATTAATTTGATCATCTAATCGTAAGCATACGAGTCATAATAATTGAGATATATTTTTAGAGAGAGACTCTGCTTGAAAGTAACATTATCTTAGTTAATTAGGAACCAACACTAATGCAATTACGCTAAACCCACACCTTTCTTGCAATTGAAAGAGATGTTTGGAAGGCCCAGCCATTTATGTAAGTTTCTGTTTTCATTCAACTTGTGTTATTTGATGTATTAACTGGTTGTTTTGTATATTGGAATGTTAAATTAAAATTAGATAGTAAGACAACAACATTACAAATTCATCCTCATCAACTCATAATTTACATAGAAAAAAAAAAATTAATGATTCAGATTCATTTCATATATAGATCTCATACTTTATCAATTCAATTTTCACCACATAAACATATTGGAGACAAATTCAAAGCCCTTAAAGATAAATTCCTAACATTTTTCATTGTAAAACTTTGAAAGTAGCCTGATGGGCAGATTTAAAAATTATATTTTTTAAATAGGGTTGGTTCATATAAATCCAATATTTTGACTGAGCCAAGTTTAAGTAGGCATAAACTTATTTATTAAGCAATGCAAACTCAACCCGCATAGGACATGACCAATGTCCAATCCTAATATTTACATTGAGAACTTTTGGAGTAATTTTGTGGTGTTTTGTGAAATTGATAAAAAATTAATTTTTTAATTTTTTTGTTTTTTTAGTGATTTTTTTGGTAAAATGCTGAATTATTTTGGGTAAAAAAGTTAATTTTTTTTGTTAAAAAAGTTAAAAAGTAAAAAAAACTGACTTTTTTTACAACTTCCCAACGGACCTACATACTTTAAAAAAAGGTACGTACTGTATATTTTAATTATAAATTTTATAATATTTTATTATGATAGATTGATTATGATTTATTGTGATATTAATTATGACTTAATTATGATATTTTGTGATTATTACTTTGGTTATGTGAATTAAATTTACTTTTTAAATTTAATGATATGACAGTCTATATTTAAAGTAATTCTTTCTTATATTTTTTTTAATTATTAACTAATTTAATGATATGACAGTCTATATTTAAAATAATTTTCTCTTATATATTTTCTAATTATTAACTAATTTATTCTTGTTACACATTATTAGTCTTAAAAATAAATTGAAAAAGTGAACTATATTTTTTTTTCCCAAGTTTCATAAAACAGTAATTTCAAAGAGCCTTTTGGTGGTTCAATCTATAGAGAGAGAGAGAACCAAAAAAAAAAGAAAAAAAAAAGAAGCCTTTTGGTGGTGGATTAGTTGTCTCTTTTTCTTTTGTTTCTGATTGGTTTATCTACCGTTACTACTTTTTAAGTTGGCCGTTCAAAGTTTCATCCACCTTTCCTATCAAACCATTCAATACAATTCCATGGAGGATTCCACCACCACCACCATCATCTCCGCCGACGAAATTGCCCACGAGTTCCTCCCCCTCCTCCGCGTCTACAAAGACGGCACCGTGCACCGCCTCCACAGCACACCTCCCGTCCCCCCTTCTCTCTTCTCCACCACCACCGCTGTCTCCTCCAAAGACCTCACCATCTCACCCACCACCGGCGTCACCGCCCGCATCTACCTCCCACCACTCACCACCACCACAAAACTCCCCATACTTGTCTACTTCCACGGCGGCGGCTTTTGCGTCGGCTCCGCCTTCTCCGCCACCAACCACCGTTACCTCACCACCTTATCATCCCAATCCACCGCTCTCGCCGTCTCAATCGAATACCGTCTCGCCCCCGAACACCCTCTCCCCACAGCTTACCATGACTCCTGGGCCGCCCTCCAATGGGTCGCCTCTCACTACGCTGGCGACGGCGGCGAGAGGTGGCTGAACGACCATGGAGATTTCAACCGGGTTTTCGTCGGTGGTGACAGTGCTGGCGGCAATATCGCTCACAACATGGCCATGAAAGCGGGCCGGGAGAGGTTACCCAATGGGGTGAGAATTTTAGGTGTGATTGCAGCCCACCCGTATTTCTGGGGGGCGGATCCGATCGGGTCGGATACAGTTTCGGGTCACGAGGATCGGATGGGTTCTCGGCTTTGGAAGTTTGTATACCCGGTGTGTCCAGGTGGGCTTGATGACCCGACGATTAACCCGTGTGGACCCGGGGCTCCGAGTTTGGCGGGTCTTGGATGTTCAAGGTTGTTGGTGTGTGTTGCTGAGAAAGATGCACTTAGGGAGAGAAATGTGAAGTACTACGAAGCAGTGAGGGACAGTGGATGGGTTGGAGAAGTGGAGTTGTATGAAGCTGAAGGAGAGGAACATGTTTTCCACATCTCGAATCCTGAGTCCGAGAATACTAAAATTATGCTCAAAAGATTGGTTTCGTTTATACAAAAATAGTGTAATTTTGTATGTTAGTTAAGTTGAACTTAATAAGTTGCTCATCATTTCTTTTTTATTTATGTTTCGCTCGAGTGTTCTTAATCTCCCTAAATTTTCCATCTCTGATGTTTCAAAACACTAATCATGCAAGAAAATTAGACACCATTCAATGGCTTCGAGTGTTTTGTGACAAAAGAAATAGTAGAATTTGGGATAAAGAATCCCTGTTGTATACTTGTACTATTGTTATCTTAATCCATGTTATGCAGTATATTGAAGTTGTTTATAATTTTTTTTTCTTTTTTTTTTATTTTGAAATTTTGCACTAGAGTGTTTGGTATAATTTTTTTGCTTATAGTTAGAGACTTAAATAATTTTAAAAAATTGATTATCTAAAAGTTACGAATGAGTATTCTTACTGTTTACAACGAAAAGTTACACCAAATCCAAATGTATCCCTTGTCAATGTAAGAAAAAATAAGAACAATAATATTAGATATATCCGCAAGTCATATTATGTTGGTGTAAATCATTAAATCAATGGACTTTTTTATTTTCAAGGGTTAGATTGGGTGCAAGGATGAAACTAAACTTTTGTTTTCGAGAGGGGTCAATATTTGAACAAAAATATGTGTAATATTAGAGATTTATAATTTATCCATAATTACATGACAATGAATTGGACATTATATGATTGAGTTTGTAATAAATCAAAAAAAAAAATGACATGTAACTTGCAACTGAGAGATAAGTCCAAAAAAACAAAAAACAAAATTAAAAGAAGAGAGAAAATAGAAGAAGAAGAAGAAAAAATTACAAAAAGATAAAGAAAAAGAGAAGAGCTTATGAATTGCTTAAAAATAAATAGGTAGAATAAAGAAGAGTTGTGGGCTCAATATAAATACATATAGGAAATAATAGTTTAAAAAAAAAAAGGAAAAATTACATGCAAGTAAGAAAAAGAAAAGAAAATTATTAATATATAGGGAGTGCAAGTGCCACTTATGCTCCTATAGACTTTTATTTACACCCCATCACAAACACACTTATACCTCTTATGTGTTTGTAACTTTTTTTTTTTTTTTTTTTTTCCGTTCTCTCACCTGCATGTAATTTCCTTCCCCCAAAACCTCTTGCCGTCTCCACATATAGGTTCGTTCCTAATTGGGTGAGATTGTAAGTGAAAATTGTTAGTGAGAAAAATAAGAAAAATTATATTTGTTTGTAATATATTTTAATGGAGGGATTAACTATATAAATACTATAAATATCTTGGATAATACTTGGTTGCTCGAAATAACAGGTTCGAAACTATTTTTTTTTTTTTTTCCTTTTCTTGCTTTTGAATACAGAAGGAAGAGAAGAGACGAGAGAGAGAGGAGAGAAGAGAAAAGGAAAAGATGGAGATGGTGATGGCGGAGGAGGAAGAGAAAGAAGATCGACGGTGATGACGATGATCGCCGGTGGGTATCGCCGATTGCCACTCTACTTTTTCTTTTCTTTTCTTTTTTTCTTTTTTTGTCCTCCTAGTGGATCTGTTGGAAAATTTGAATTTAAATTTACTCCTATTGTTGTATCTCTTGAGATGAAAGGGTCTGTCCTTTTAAAGGATCACAACCTTTCCAAAGAGTCTCATAGAAGTCTATATATTTCATCTCCCTCACTTCATTTTGGAGAGAATTGTCATTTTCTTCTTCACTTCGCATTTATTCTTTATATTTCCTGAGTCGAATTTTCTTATAAAGAGAGTACATGCACATCGAAGTTCGCTAGGCTTGCAATAGTAGTGCTGCTAGTGCAAGACATTGATCATTGTATCTTGGGAGATAGACATCCATTGAATCCTAAGCACCGATAGGAGGACGAATCTGTCTTAATGAAAGAGTGTCACACACTCGACTCGATCAGATTTTATCTATTTATGTACCGTAAGTTTTATCCTGTTATTTTGTCAATTTATTTCAATTTCGATTTTGCCCAAAAATCGTTCACATATTTTTTAATTATATTTTTCAAATAGTTTGGTACTATTTTTCTAACAATCTTAAGACACATTTGGTCCTACTTATGATTTTTGGAAAAATATAATTGATTTATTATGTACGACGGTGGCACTACAATATTTGTGGAGAATATTGGAGACTTACCAATTTGGGTGGGCTGCTTATGATTATACTTTCTTGGTATAGAATATACATATTGGGATTAATCATACTTTTAAACCTTAATCACGTAAAAGATTGTTCTTTTTTCTTTTGATGATTTGTTCAAAAACACAGTCCAAAATTGATGATAATAACTAATTGAAATTGAAGTGAGAAAATTGGAAATGAAAGCATCATAAAGTAGAGTGATTAAAAAGAATACTTAGTTGTTGATGAATTTAAGTTTGGAGTCAGTTTCGGATCGAGGAATGTTATTGCAGTTATTGGGTTGAAGGAGGAAAAGCTAAATTGAGACACAAGTCAAAAACCTGAGAACGTTTTAATGCCATTATGGGTGTGCATTAGAAGAACCTGTTTGCTAGATTTCATGAACAGTATGATTTGGTGCAATCTGTTTGTAGAAATATAAAATAAAATAAAAAAAAACTATTTCCGAACAGTGAAACTAAAGGAAGATGTGCATTGTTTTCATCTGAACCAACGTGACTGTTCAAACAAAAATAACAATTTGTGAATTGATGAATGAAGTTTTGGAACAAACCCAATCGACTCAAAATACAATTTTTTCCACAAACAGATTACATCAATAAAAAACATGTCATAAAACATGATTAGAGTTGAATGTGTTAACATGATTAGCTTTTTTTCCGACATTAACTAATTTTGTGTTAACATCAATCCATTGGTAGAGTTGAATGTGTTTGGGGTTTTATTTTCAATCTGTGGTTGTAAGATGGGGCGGTTGCCATGTGTGCATGAAGAAAGATGCCAATTGAGAGATTGAACATTTAGGAAATGCGAGCCAAGAGGAAGATGACATGGTTACCCACTCCATTTGAAACTTGCTTCTCATATACCAACTACTTTCCCACGACACTCGATCCTCCTGAGCCAAGCGTCATGGTGACTATACAATTTTGACTCTGATGGATCGTTTAGAGATCGATCTGATCAAAGTGGAGATTGAAGAAGTAGAAAGGGAATGGGGTTGGATCCAATGGGAGTGATGGTTTAGAGAGATTTACAACACTTTTTAGAGAGTTTTCGCCTGTAAATCTAATATCTGGGTTTGGTTTTCGTTCACTTTCTCTCCCTCTCTCTCTCTACTTTGATCATACACATACATACATATCTATATATATATATATATTTGTTGCATAGTTTGTGCAATGGAGAGGTAAGATCGAGCAACGGCAATGGAAGGGTCGCAGTCCGATCCGGGAGGAGAAACCGGGCTCGAAGAGCCTATGTGGCAGTTAGGGTTCGGGAGTGATGTCGAGTCTTACCCAGAGCGGCCCAACGAGGCCGATTGTATCTACTATTTGAGAACCGGGTTTTGCGGGTACGGTTCGGGGCGTCGGTTCAATCATTCCCAGTATAAAGCCACAAGTACTGCTTTTATGAATAGTAGGAAATGGTTAAAACACTTATTTCTGGTGTGAATTCTTCCAAGATTTGTTTAGATGGTTTTAATAGGGAATTTGTTTTCTGTTAAACAAAATTTGATTAATCTATTGTGTATTTCCTATGTTAATAATGCATTGTTAATCTGTTGTGATTATAACCAAAAATAACTTGGGTTGAAATAGAAATTTTGTTTGTGATTACATTAGTTCTATTTGTACGGGAAAAAAAAATTCGTTCGGTTCGATATAGAGTTTGATATTGAATTTCCTAGTTTGTTTAGGAAATTGGATTCAGATTCTGTTCGTTTTATTTTGAACCTATATATATGGACATCGAGTTTTTTGAATAGTGATGTTTTATTTAAATTAAAAGCTTATGAAGACTTATATTGTTGTCTTGTGTATAAAATGCAATTATACAAGTGGTATTTTACATTTTATATTGAAATTGAAAATAGATTGAGGAATCTTTGGTGTTGATTATTATTTTTTAATAATCAATTAAAAGTTATTTTTAACGTAACTTTAAATTTTGTGAGATAGGATGTTTTGAATCTTTATTTCACTTGAGTAGTAGACTTGGTTAACCATGAATCATGTTCTTAATGTGGGAATTTATTTTTGAATTAGAAGAGATAATTCCATTTTTGTCCCAAATATTTTTTGAAAGAGTTATTATTTGTGACTGTGACACTTGTCTAGAAATGAATCATGTTGTTTGTACTAATTTATGTATTATCACAAATGTGGGGGGAAGAGAGATTAATGCAATTAAATTATGACGTTAATCTTATTCCATTGACTTGTTAATCTTGTCCATGTCTACATATGTTGTAGAGTTGACAATCAAATTATGATGCCATTAATATCAATTTGGTATGTGGTGTATTATAAATGGATGTCAATTATTTATCAAAGTATTGATAAAAAATGTGAACTTATGTGTTTTGACATAAGAGGAATTCTAATTATTCTTTGGAATAATGACTGTGAAATTTTCTTGGTAGTTTTAATCATGTCATTATTACTATTTATGATGAGCATATCATCTACATAAAGACATACAATGACATAACCTTTATCTGTGTTTTTAATATAAACATATTTGTCACACTCATTAATTTTCCATTTGACATCATTGCCTTGTCAAATTTCTCATGCCATTGCTTTGGCGCTTGTTTTAAACCATATAATGATTTAACCAATTTACACACTTTCTTTTCTTTCCCTGGAACAGAAAACCCTTCTGGTTGTTCCATGTAAATTTCTTCATTTAACTCACCATTTAAGAAAGCGGTTTTAACATCCATTTGATGAATTTCTAGATTGTATAGAGATGCAATGGCAATTAGCATTCTAATGGATGTTATTCTAGTAACCGGTGAGCAATTAAATTATGACATTAATCTTATTCCATTGACTTGTTAATCTTGTCCATGTCTACATATGTTGTAGAGTTGACAATCAAATTATGATGCCATTAATATCAATTTGGTATGTGGTGTATTATAAATGGATGTCAATTATTTATCAATTTAGTATGTGTTTAATTGAACTACCCTTGGGCTTTGATTTCTTAAATTGATCTTCAAAACATGTTATACTATGAGTTTTAAAGTGTTTTCTAGAAAATTAGCCCAAGAGGATCGAATTTGATGATTTAAAGTTGAGTTTTGAGCTTGAGGTTCAAATTTAGAAATTCTAGATTTTGGACT